AACTGAGAGGCCTGACTGACCAATGGGCAAGAAATCAATTGGGAATCTGACAGCACCACCTTCTGGGCTCATCCTTCCATGAAGGAACAGAATCACTGTAAAACAGTGTCTTCAAGTCCCAAAATACAATGAAGGCTTAGAAGGTATAATGGTTGATGATGTTGAAAATTAATGAGAGGTCCAGCAGAACCAGCTGGGAGAAGACTCACCTGTCTGGTTCCTAGTATAGATTAGCCACCAAGATGACCACAGCCTTCCATGTCCCATAATCAGGCCTGAAACCAGACTGAAATGGATTAGTATAAATCATTTATCCAGGAATCTGGAGCACTGAGAAAACACATTCTATTAGCTTACCCAAAAATGTTGGACACCGACGAATAGTTGTCCATTACAGATGGATCCAGGAAAGGCTTCTTCAAAAACTGCCTCATGTAGGCAGACTGGAAGCCTGTGGTGTTGTAAGGAGGCACTGACTACTCTTTTATTTGGTGTTCCCAGTGCCTTACTTAGTGCTGAAATTGTGATTGTTCCTCTACGTATGGGCTTGGTTCCATATAATTAGCAATTGACGCAAACAAAAGTTTAACTCCCTCATACTAACACCCAACTTGATAATTATTCTTCCAGCTGGATGAAAGCAGTTGATAGGTTTCTTCAGGAAACTGCATAGATTCTGAGATCCCTGGCTGCTGGGAATTGTGTGTGTGGGGGTTCTCCCAGACAATTATCTTTATGCTCTACTGGTCCCTAAATACTTTCCCCTTGGTGATTTTTAATAATAATAATAATAATAATAATAATAATAATAATAATAATAATAATAATAAAATTTTATTTATATCCTGCCTTTCCAAGGCTATCAAGGCAGCTTTACAATTTAAAGTGCAATCCCATACAATTCTAATAGACATATAACCCCCCCACCTTAAAAATATGTTAAATCATTGTAAACATTAAAATCTAACTTAAAACAAAGCTACAAATCTAATACAATTAGATAGCCAGCACTCTGAATATATAAAAGAGTGATCTAATGGTCCAATGGCAGGGGAGAGATTGTGAGAATGTCATTTTGGGAATGCCTGCTGGAAGAGATCCATTTTGATGGCTTTTTAAAAACCATCTAAGTAGATTATCTGATGGATCTCCTCCAGCAGGGCATTCAACAGTCTAGGGACCGTGGCACAGAAAGTCCTCTGGGAGGTTGTCACCAATCTGGTTCTTATTGGTTGAAGCAACTTCCTCCCAGAGAACCTGAGGGCATGGAGTGGATTATATGGAGACAGGCAATTCCTTAAGTAAGATGGTCCCAAGCCATGTAGGGCTTTAAAGGTTAACACCAACACCTTATACTATGCCCAGAAACTAATTGGCAGCCAGTGGAAAGATTTCAAGATCGGAGTGATATGATCACATCTTAGAGTTCCAGTGATCAGCCTGGCTGCCATATTTTGTACTAGTTGCAGTTTCTGAGTTAGGTATAAGGGTAGCCCCATGTAGAGTGCATTACAGAAGTCGAGTCATGAGGTTACCAGGGCATGTGCTACAGTTTCTAGGTCCTTTACTTCCAGGAAAGAGCGCAACTGGTCTATCAGCTGAAGCTGATAACAGGCGCTGTTGACTAACGCATTCACCTGATTTATCATGTGAAGCAACGAGTCTAGGAGCACCCCCAGACTGCAGACACAGTCCTTGGTGGAGAGTGTGACTCCATCCAAGACTGGCGGTCGCAACCCAATCTCTGGTTTGGAGGCCCCTACTGTAATTCTGTTTTGTCTGGATTCAGTTTGAGTTGTTTTTTCCTCATCCAGTCCATTACCACTTCAAGGCATTGATTGAGGGGAGAACCGCCATCTGCCATCATAGCAGTTGACCAAGACATGGAGCAGAATATTTGAGTGTCATCAGCATATTGGTAACATCCTGCTCCATGTCTCCTGATGATCTCTCCCAGTGGCTTCATATAAATATTGAATAACATTGGGGACAGGATGGCTCCCTAAGGAATGCTGTATTAGCTCCGTTTTTGATGAACAGCTGTCCCTGAGTACCACCCTCTAGAACCTGCCCAAGAGAAAAGAGTGGAACCAATGAAAAGCAGTGCCTCCCACGCCTAATTCTCTCAGGTGCTCCAAAAGGATGTTGTGGTCTATAGTGTCGAAAGCCACTGAGAGATCCAAAAGCACCAACTGGGTCACACTTCCCCTGTTTGTGCTAAGGTGAAGGTCATCCACCAGAGCAATCATGGTTATCTCCACCCCATATCCAGGCCTGAAGATGGTTTGAAATGTATCTAGAAAATTGGTTTCATCCAAGATTGCTTAGAGTTGGAAGGTGACGGCTCGCTTGATCATCTTGCTCAAGAATAGTAAATGAAACTGGTCTACAATTTTTCATGTCCAGGGGGTCCAGGGAAGGTTTCTTCAGAAGTAGTCTAATGGCCACCTCCTTTAGACTAGAAGGAACAACTCCTTCCCTAAGGGATGCACTGATGACCTCCTTAAGGAAGGCCCTCAATGCATCACCACTCTGGATGACCAGCCAAGATGGGCAGGGATCGAGAGAACACGTCATCTTCCTTACTTTTCCGAGGATCTTGTCCACATCATCGGTACTCACTAAGTCAAACTGATCTAGTTTAATCTCATAAACGGGTTTACTGGACACCTCATCAGTCACTTCTGTTGTAATTCCGGTGTTTAAGTCGGCTCTTATCTGAGAGATTTTATCTGTGAAATAGTTGTTAAAAGCATCACAGAAGGCTGTTGTTGGGTTGAGTACAGGGTTCTGCACAGGTGAAACCTGTGACAGTTCCCTTACCACCCTAAACAATTCTGCTGGATGAGATTCCACAGACGCGATATGGGCAGAGGAGAAAGACTTCTTCGCTGCCTGTATCCTCTCGATAGGAATGAAAGAATTTCCTATGATGAGTTCTGTCAGATAAGAGTTGAGTTTTCCGCCAGGTAAACTCTAGTCATTGTCCAACCCGTTTCATTTTTCTGAGTTCTTCTGTGAACCAGGGGTGACGATTTGGAGTGGGTTGGAAAGGATGCTTGGGAGCAGTTGTGTCGACAGCTCTGGTGAGATCGGTGTTCCAAGTGTTCACCAGGGCTTCGACAGGGTCATCGGCTTTACCAACCAAGAAACCCTCCAAGGCTTTCTGGAATCTGATTGGCTCCATTAACCTCTGAGGGTTCTGCACATTTTAATGGGTCCTCCACCCCCGGTGGGATGAGCAATGGCTCTTAGTTCAACCTTGACTGGGAATTGATTTACCATCAACCCTCACAGAGGGAAAATGAATGTTCCTTATTGCCAACATCTCTGCCCTTGTCAAACAGGCATGGATGAAACAGTTGAACATATGTTTTGTTTTTTACTTTCTATAACACAAGAACATCTGCTCTTTATCTATGTATCATCCCAATTTTAACAAGTTTCCCAATTATAGTGCTTTAGCATCTTCTGCTAGTAATCAGTTGGTGACAAATTCTTAGGAAATTTTATCAGTACCAGTAGGTTGTAACAGGTTCCTTATTGAAGACAGATATGTTTCTACCCCCTGGATATAACTTAGAATTCTCCTGAACTTGTTATTTGTATGTTCTCTCTGTAACTATATAGCAGAAGGGGACACCAGTGTGGGGGCCAAAGTCCATTTTCTCCCCTCCCCTCCCCTCCCCTCCCCAAGTAAACATAAATATAGCTGGCCCTCCCTATCTATGGATTCCTTATCCACAGATTCAACCATCCACACTTGAAAATGCTTGAAAATATATATAATTTCTAAAAAGCAAACCATTTCTGCCATTTTATATCAGGGACACTATTTCACTCTGCTGTTGTATATAATGGGACTTCAGCATCCACATATTTTGTTATCTATGGGAAGACCTGGAACTAAACCCCAGCAGATACCAAGGGCCCATTGTACTTCATTTTCCTTCTGCAGCCCCCTCAATTTATTTATTTATTTTGCCATTTTATAGGGGCTTCAGAGTAAAATAGAGGCAACTGGGGTTAGCAAATGTATTCAAGAGAGCGTCTCCCCCAGAAGTTACAAAAAAAACCCACAATGTTTTTAGGGTTAGGTTACAGTCCCTCAAGGTCCCCTGGGGGGATAGTATGGCCCCATGTCCTGACAGTTTCCCATGTTATAGTAAATCAACACAGAAGGACAACATTTGAGTTAGGCAGACCAACCAAGTTCACCGTCACAGATGATTAGATAAAATTGGTGTTACAGAGCTTCCACTGAATTGCAATGGGTGCTGTAATACATTTCCTTTGGAATTTCATGCTGTACTGCATCTTTTCTGGTTACTATTAATTTGGTTGTTTAGCTTGCCATTCTGGACATTCTGCTCTGTTTTGCATTGTTTCTGGATATCAAAGGATTAAATAAAAGAATAATGTTGTAATGGTTTCATTTGAACTGTAGATATTAGAAAATTAGATTGTAGAGAATAAAACAGAAAAGACTTATTGTACAAGTTAAAGATATGGTTTACATCAGCTCCAAACACAGTACACTTCTGTTTCAAAAAAAGTACCACTTCTCCCTGATATCTTTCCTTACTCTCAGGTCTCCAAAGCCCAATTCATATCTCCTCCACTCCTCTCTTCCTAACTGACCCATCCTACTCTTTTGAAGATTTAATCAATTCCTGTCTGCCCCATCCCTATCTCTATTTCTACCTGAGCAAAACCATCCCCCCCTATGAATACAGGGTCTCATCTCATCCCATAAAGATGGAGTCATGACAACTAAGAAACATCCCTCAAACTATTTTCAGTTCTGTTTAAAAGTACTTCCTCTTTCACTTAGCCCTTTTTACTATATACCTTCAAGTCATTTCTGACTTAATAGTGACCCTAAGGGGACTCTATTATGGGGTTTTCTTGGCAAGATTTGTTCAGAAGGGGTTTTGCCTTTGCCTTCCTCTGAGGCTGAGAGAATATGACTTGCCCAAGGTCACCTAGTGGGTTTCCTATGGTTGAGCAAGGATTCAAACCCTGGTCTCCAGAGTTGTAATCTGATACTCAGACCACTATGCCATGCTGGCTCTCCCTAGCCCTAGATAGTTATTTCCTGGCTCATTACCAATTCAATATTATCTGGTAATCAGTTAACAGCCCTATGTAGCAATTTCCTGTAATTATGGGATATAACAATTCGTTAATTATATGGTAGTAGCTTATGACTAATTCAAAACTGGCTATCAATGGCTATACTCAAATTCTGTAGAGGAAACAAATTGAGAGAAAGAAGATAAACATTTTTATTAATGATGCAGGTTATTTTTTAATAGCAGATAAGGTGATTATCACACTCAGGAATTCTGGTGGGAAAGACACAGGATCTAAAAGACAAAAATGGATGTTATCACATTTACCCATGTCTGGGCTGTAGGCAGCCCGTACCCACTCGGCCAGTCCGTCTGCAACCTGGACTTTTCCTGCAGTTTTTTCAAGAATGGGAAAATCTTGTTTTGGAAAATACCACAGGAGAAGGCTGAGTTGCAGCTGGGATGCCTAGAGCTTGGAGACGGGTAAATGTGATAACAGCTGTTTTCATCTTTTGGATCCTGCATCCTTCCCACCAGGATTCCTGGATGCGATTATCTCCATAGTATAACATCTTGTGTTTTCACTGAGTTGGTATCATTTCAAGTTGGGCTTTCCTTATGCCTGTGAAAGGAGGTGAGGGAGAGAGAAAAAGGAAAGTGTTTGACTCTAAGGTTTGTCAAACTGAGTTCCTAGTATTTATATATTTATAAATATATAAATACTAGGAACTCAGTTTGACAAACCTTAGGACGTTATCACATGGGACAAATCTGTTGGTTAATCCACACAAATCCCAAACAAAAACTGGA